AATTCCGAATTTTGTTTTCAGATAAACGTAACTTACCTAACAGCAAATACCCTTATCCTTATTTATGCACTTATGCAAATGGACAATAGGGATTTTAGTTTCCGAAACAATTTTAAGTATATTTAAAACCATAATTTGGAATTTGCAAAATACATTTGGTATTACATAGTTTTTGTTTAATATAGACAACTTTTAATCATTGTTTTTTTTTTAAATGTCCGTATGTTTAAGTTGTTTTGACCCAGTATTTTATGCCAGTATGCTATGCATCTATACTTTTTATTTTAATCCTACATGTCTGGAAGATCCAGGTTCAATTATCGGTCGCAGCTTTCATTCTTTTTTCGTATTCAAGTGCACAGCATATAAAAATTACTAATTGACACATTTATAATTTTAATTTTTAAAACCGTTTACAGCTTTTTACATGCTGTACAATAAGTATATGTAAGAAAACACGATATTTTCATCAAATTAATCTATTTCCAAAATTAAACACAATACAAGTAAATTCGACATTCCGTTGAGACAGCCGAACTATATGTGTCCCCTTATTTCTCAGGCCAGTTTGCCCTAGGAACTCAATACATAATACTAAAATAACAAATATGAGTCTTAGGGTAATAAATAACACATTTTAATGCCTTCGTCATCACTTCGTTGAGAGACAGGTACTTCGTCTGATCCATATGTTTCGACTAAATACCATCGATCCAACGCTTTCGAATTTTAAATTCTTACACGGCCAACCTGACCATTATTTCGTTCTCGAATTAATTAAGAAACCTTTACGCTTTTTTCCTGCAACAAAAAGAAAAACGGAAACAGAACCTCTTCGAAATTTACAAAAAAAATTTAAAATTAGTAAAAAGTTTCTGATGACAAATAAGCACTCGTGGACAGTAAATCTATTCGGTGCTAAATTAATAAACAATTTAAGATGGTGAACATAGCGGTTTTTTTATCCTTTAACATTTCCACAAAAAAATAACATATTACGTATGGCGTTATAATAACGTAGCTTTCCAACAAACCATGTTTGTCTGTTTGTAAAGCGTAACTTATGAAATCATTTTTGTTATATCAAAGATTTTGTAGCTTTTTTACCAAAAATAAGTAAACTATAATCATAGAATCAGTTTTCAACAAATTACCATTACAAAACGCATCGTTGTTTCTATCATATCGCAGATTTCTTAGATTTCGCAGAATTCACAGATTTTGTAGATTTCGTTGATTTCGTAAATTTCGTAAATTTCCTAGATTTTGTAGATTTCGTAGATATCGTAAATTTCGTAGATTTCGCAAATTTCACAAATTTCGATTATTTCGCAGATTTTACAAATGTTACAAATTTCGCAGTTTTCGTAAATTTCGCTAATTTCTCGCAAATTTCGGAGATTTCGCAGTTTTCGAAAATTTCGCAGATTTTACAAATGTCAAAAGTTTTCTATAGGTACATCGCATATTTCGCAGATTTTGCAGATTTCGCAGATTTCGCAGATTTCGCAGATTTCGCAGATTTCGCAGATTTCGCAGATTTCGCAGATTTCGCAGATTTTGCAGATTTTGCAAATATTACAGATTACGTAGATTTCGCAAAATTCACAAATTTCGAATATTTCGCAGATTTTACAAATGTTTCAAATTTTACAAATTTCGCAGTTTTCGAAGATTTCGCTAATTTCACAAATATTGCAAATTTCACCTATTTCGCAGTTTTCAGTTTTCGCAGATTTCATATATTTCACAAATTTTGAATATTTCGCAGATTTCGCAGATTTCGCAGATTTCGCAGATTTCGCAGATTTCGCAGATTTCGCAGATTTCGCAGATTTCAAAAATTTCGCAGTTTTCGAAGATTTTGCAGATTTCACAAATTTCACAGATTTCGCAAATTTTGTAAACTTTGCAGATCTTACAAATTTCGTAAATTTCGCAAATTTCGCAACTTTCACAAACTTCGCAAATTTTGCAAATTTCGCAAATTTAACGTATTTCGCAGATTTCACAGTTTTATCAGTTTTCGCAGATTTAGAAGATTTCGCAGATTTTACAAATTTCACAGATATCGCAGATTTTACAAATTTAGTATACATCGCAGATATCTCTCAGTTTTCATAGATTTCGTCGCAGTTATCGTCGCAGATTTCGTCGCTAATTGCGTAGATTTTTTTTATATAATAGGAGCTTTCAACAAATTATCATTGCAAAGCGCATCGATGTTTTTATCATTTTGTAGATTTTTTTTTTTAATATAGTAGGAGCCTTCAACAAATTACCATTGCAAACCGCATCGATGTTTTGATCATATCGCAGATTTTTTTTTATAATAATACTAAAATGAAAGAAATTGATTAATTATTTATCTCTGACGTTTGCAATAAATTAATAATTTTGTACTTTATTGTATTAACTTTAAAACTGAATTTGCTGGTTCAAATTTTAATCATTTCTTTGGCAACGGTGTATTTTCTGTTTGTATATAGTTTTTTTTAACTCAAACCTTCCATTTGACAATAGTTTTATTACTTCAAATGTACCTTCTTATCTATTCAAGTTTTGCCATATGACTATTCCCCAATGAGTGAAATACAATACGTCCAAAATTTATTACTTTATTAGACCTTTCTGTCTTTTTCGCATAATCAGCCTTCTTTCTGTCAGTTTTCAATCGTTTTAAAAAAATTTAGAATCTCTGAGATACTGAATGATTCAGTAAAGGTTTTAATGTCAGGCCGGTCAAAAAAAAAAATAAATAAGAAAAACCCGTACTTTTTTGACAGTATTATTTTATTTTTGTTCGTAGGTTTAAAGCAAATGTTCGTCCATTCTGACTAACCAACTAATTCACAGTAAATTTAAATCAGTGCCTTTATACCTTCAAGGGGTATCAAAAATAAAAATTTCGTAATTTCTTTTAAAAAAATAGCAAATGTTTAAAATAATCATTGGATATCGGAAAGAAACCTATGCAATCATCGTGAAGTGTTTGTGAAATAGTTTAGGTTTTACTAGTGATAACATATTTTGAACAATGGTCGCAGTATTTTTTTGTCACAAATTTTGCTATTTCCCAGAACCAAAATTAAAATAATTGCCGAGTTAAGCGAAAGTTTTATCAGCACTAACGAGGCATTGTTTAACATGAAGCAGTCGCATCAATTCTAAACGGTAACCTTTAAGATCAAAAGATTTTGCCCAGTACTTATTTTTCTAAAAAGAGTAATTTTTAACAAAAATGTTCTTTGGTTAATTTACCATCTCGGAGTTTTTTTTAATAATGTCGACGTATTGTTTCTAAGCTTTTCATTGCCAGAGATAATATTAATTTCTTTTATTAAAATAGAAACATTTTTTTTATCAGATTTCTACTAAGACTCAAAATTAAAGGACTGCAAATAAAGACACTATTTGTCCAAAATAGCGTAGTAGATCATTGCTGAACTGTTCACAATATAAAAACAAAATTTGAAACCTATACCATTGCATTCAATTCTTAATATCATATTACTATTTTTAAAAGTTACATTGCGTACACCTTCTAACGTTATCACATATGGCTCTCTAAATTAAAATTGAAAGTTTTAGCAATGCTACATTCTTTCCAGTATCTATCAAACAGTTGACAGTTAAATCATTATAAATTTAGTACCAAAGTTACTATCTAAATCAACAAAAAAATTAATTTATTCTAGAGCTAGATGGTCACTAAGTTTCTTTTTAAAACAATCAGCTGGCCAATTTTGTTTTTCATTGCACGTAAATAACATTACTTTTATCGGTGACATATTATTATTTGCCTCTACGAGATGACCGGTGTAACAAGTTAACAATGGCGCAGATTGATTACAAATGCAATAAAGTAATAAATTTATTTTTGAGTCATCTTTAAAATCTAAACCCTAAAGGTTTTACTGTGCTGGATCTTTTATAACTACTTAAAAATTCGACATTCCGTTGAGACAGCCGAACTATATGTGTCCCCTTATTTCTCAGGCCAGTTTGCCCTAGGAACTCAATACATAATACTAAAATAACAAATATGAGTCTTAGGGTAATAAATAACACATTTTAATGCCTTCGTCATCACTTCGTTGAGAGACAGGTACTTCGTCTGATCCATATGTTTCGACTAAATACCATCGATCCAACGCTTTCGAATTTTAAATTCTTACATATATACTTAAAAACAAGAAACATAATATTTTTGGATACGTTTAAAAAAAGGTTTGAATAACAAATATATGTGGTTTATTTACAATTACAAACCACAAGCTTTAGAAGATAACTATATTTACTGTTTTCGTAGTAGTTCCTGATTTTATAATGTGCATTAAGCCTCTAATGGCAATAATTTATACAGGGTGTTTCATTATTAATTACAAACAGAGAGCACTTAGGTGATATCATAAAATCTCTTTTCGGTGCTGGAAAATGTTGTAAAATACTATAATTCACAAAACACCAACACGTTCTTTTGTATACAAAGTAGCAGTATTTAAGATTTACCAAAAAATGCAAGAATCTTGCAGCAAGACCAAGACCTAGCTGTGCAAGACCAAGACCAGCTGAAGACTTGCAAGAGCAAGACCGAGTGTGCAAGACCAAGACCGAGTGTGCAAGACCAAGACCGAGTGTGCAAGACCAAGACCGAGTGTGCAACACCAAGACCAACCCGGTCTTGGTCTTGTTTTGCTCATCACTAGTCATTTTTTATAACGTAAGCTTCCGCTAAGAGCAGCATTGTATAGAGCAGCCGAGTAGTACAGACGTGTTTTAAATCGTTCAGCGTTATCTTGAATAAAAATTCTTAGTTAGTCTTAAATATCCTATTCTTGTCTTAAGAATAGAAATACTCGCAAAATCAATAATTAAAATATTTTTATTACGATAAAGTGCTTATAGTGTAAATAAAGTGTTTTTTCACAAAGGTTCTCTTTTTCTCCAATCTGTGCATTTATTGTGATAGTCAGTGGTGTCCATAGTCTGTTAATAAAATGCCCAGTGAAGGAGAATGTTCCTGTTGTAAAACTAAATGTGATGTCACCAGGTTAGTCGATTGCAGTGTATGCAATAAAACATTTAAAAATACTTGTGTCGGTCTTACTATAAACGACCTTAAAACTCTTTCAAAAAATGGCATCTCATATACTTGCCCCGCATGTTTGGTTATTGGTGCAGAAATCAATGAACTGAGATCAGTTATTGTTGAATTGTGGAATGAAGTAGCGGAGCTTAAACAGTCCATATCATCACAAAACAAACCAATGATTGTTAATTCTGATTTGTCAATTAATACCATTTTGAACGAGGTTCATGAAAGACAAAAGAGACAATGCAATCTTTTGTTTTTTAATGTTCCAGAAACTAATGGGATCAATAATCAAGAAAAAAATGAAGCTGATGCACAAATGGTTAAAAATATTTTAAAACATGTATCTTCGGACATTCCTCTAGCCATTGAATTAAAACAATTTAGACTTGGAAAATTTGTTACAGGTGCCAAACCACGTCCCTTAAAGGTTATCCTTCCTGATAGTCAACATGTTTTTAAATATTTAAAAAACTCGCAAAAACTGAAAACAGGTACATATAAACAAATCAATTTGGCTCCGGACGGAACACCTATGCAGTTACAACAATATAAATCAGTTAAAGAAGATCTTCGAAAACGAATGGAAAACGGTGAAGAAAATTTAAGAATAAAAGAGTCATCTTCCAACCGATCCCTTACTTAAAATTGTCAGGGGGGTGCGGGCAGTTGCAAATTTCACACTTGACGAAGGCGTGTCTGTAGATTGTTTATCCCGTTCCTACTTAAAGCATTATTAGAGTGAGAAACTATTCGGTCTCCTGCGAGAGACTTATCAGGACAGTTTAGTTTATTTACGTATGCTGCGCGATTTATTCATTAATTATATTTTTATTGTGGTTGTGTCGTATTATTTAAAGACGTTTGAAATAATTTAGAAATGGGTAAGTTACAAAAGAAAAAAGAACCATTTCATTGTAAGGGAAATAAGGTCCATGTAAGATTAAATACAAAGAGACGACAGCGTAAACATTTTCCTTCAAGAAAAGAGGTAAAAAATAAAACTAATCTTATATACTTATAATTACATAATTTTTTCAATGACAGCTTACATCAATGACGACATCAGAGAATCTGACTGTAACAAAATAAATTAAAAGTAATAGTGAGGTTCAGGTACGTTTTATTATTAATATATTAATAAATACCTAATCAAATTATATGTTCATGAAATTTTCACCAAAAATCTAAAATGGGAAATTCTAGAGCTGATTGCTTTTTGAACAAAATGGGAACGTAGTAAAGAGGTTTTAGGGGGGTTTAACATTAAAAAAAAAAAACATAAAAGATAGAAATGGCAGATTTAACCCAATTTTGCAAAAATATTTTAGTAGATCACTATTTTTATTTTTCAAAATATTAAATTTATTCGCGTACTCTAAGGTTATATTTAATTTGAAAATTTAATGAAATCGTAAAAAACGAACAAAGAGATTCAAATAAAATTTTACAAAGGCCTTTTTTTATTCACAATGTTAACTCATTGATTTGCGTTTTCTGTAGTGTTCAATGTTTAAATAGTCATACAAAAAAGTTAATTTTTCTTAAAAAAAAAAAAAAAACTCATTGAAGAACGTTAGAAGGGGTTTTAAATGATAAAAATAAAAATAGAAAGGTCATGTCATATTTTGAATATTTATTTATTATAATAAACTCTATTTCCTCGTAAAATTAAAAGTGTAAGTTGTTAAAATTTAAAAATAAAAAAAAATCGTTATGCAAATATGAGATTTACAATTTCAATAACGTCATTGTGGAGTTTTAGGATGTTGAAAAAATAAGACCTCCAATTTTCACATTGATCTATGCACTTTGAGGGAAAGTAACATAGTGCTAGTTTTTATTTTTTTAATGTAAAAAAATGCCAAAACCTGTTAAAATATCTTACGCTTTTGTATTTTTAGGAAAGAGTTGAAGAACAAGTTACAGATAAAAATGGGCTAGTCAATTTATAATCCTTCTTACGAATCTTCAATAATTTTAGAAGGTCGACTTATAGTAGAATTAAACTATTTCATAAACTCACCAATAAGTTTATCTAATCATTTGAATTCGGTTGTTCTCTTTTAAATATGCTCAGACAGAAAGAAAAAAGGAAAGGTCTCATTTCTAATCTACATGTTAAATGTAGCATGTGCAATATGGCATTTCAAATTACAACCTCGCAAGATATTCCCAAGACAATGTAAATAAAGGTGCAGTGATACGTGTAACGTCAATCGGCTCAGCATTTGCTCATTTAGAACAAATTAGTGCCTCTCTAGACATACCATGTATGTCAGAGATACTTTACAGTAAAGTTCACGATAAAATTTCTGATGCTTTGGAGGAAACGAGTATGCAAACAATGAAAGACGCTGCCGAAGAAGAGCGAAGGTTAGCAATTGCTGAAGGTGATGTGGACAAGAATGGAACACCTTTAATAACCGTCGTTGTAGATGGTACAGTTCATCAAATTTCTAGAGGCTTTCGACGGCTAGACAGAGAAAGCACTACTGACAGGCATCCCGACGGATTTACGCAATGAAAGTACACTCTGCGCATCAAGTATTTCACTATTTCATTCAGACGTAAATGTCAGATGTAAATTTCGCTAAAACATTTCTTTTATTTTCGTTTGTGTTTTTTGCTCATTACAGTTTAATAGAACCTAAGTATGGAGTTTAATAGCAAATTAAGAGGCCGCGTGATTAACAGTCAATCTCGCGAAATAATAGCCAATGTTATAGAGTTTATGAGAAGAGAAGGAAACTTTAATTCACCTTCAATACCATTTAAAAATGTAAATGATCGTGTTGCTGCAGCCACAGGAGTATCTAAAAACACTGTCGTCCGCATTTCTGGAGAGAAAAAAAAGAATCGATAACCGTGAGATCGGAATTTTCATCACCAAGAAAAACCATTAAAAAACCAAAAACAGTTAATGATATAGATGAAGTTGCACAAGAATCAAATTTTATTTTTTTATTATTAGATAGCTATTTTTGTTTCTGAGTTGTATTCATTTACAGGCTCAATTTTTTTCCGTTTCTCCTTTTTGATTTTATATGGGGTTTCAAGTTGTTTTTGACTTATTTCGACGTAAATCACAACAACATACTTTTTTAATAAAGCAAACAAGTGTTAAGAGGTATATGTACGTGTAAACTACAATTACAAAAAATTGATATGAAACCCATGAAACCACCAACAAAAATGTAAAGCTAGCTTCCGTACTAGAACATGGTGTCATTCGTCGAGATAATTTATCGTTTTGTTTAATAGATCAAGAAATGTAAATATTCCCCTATTATTTTTTATAAAATTATAAGAGAAATAAATTTTATTCTAAATAGTATAGTTTATTATTTTGTAGAAAAACAAAATTTCGAAAATTTTAGTAATGTTTCAGAAACAACCGTTATTAATCATAGGTACCATTTTCCTTAATAAGGTAGAAATAAAATATAAACTATTTCCACGATTTACAAAGGCCTACAAAAAAATTATAGGTATTTTCCGCTATCCTATAAAATTTATATTTTCTGACTCAATTTCAAAAGGTTGAAGGAATTCCAAAACACCTTTTATGGCATAATAATTATTTTCAATTCTACATACTATCTTTAGCTGCTTTTAAAAACGTTCTAAGAAAGTCCAATCAGACCAATTTAATCCCTAAACTATTCCACACTTTTAAAATTTAATTACCTAAAAATATTAAAAACTATTTAAAATAACTTGTTTAGCAGACTGTACAATAGCTATCTTAGTCACACGTAGCGCGTTCTCTGTCTGGGCGTCGAACACCTCTAGAAATTTGATGAACTGTAGTTGGGCAAAACGTTCCTACGGAAGCAGCTACAACTCGTTATCAGGAGCAGCAGCAATAGTTGGCTTTAGAACGAAAAAAAAAAAGAGATATATCTATTTGTTTTTTTCTTCGATCACTAGCGGATTTCATTATCAGATGGGAAGAAAACAGTTTTATTTTTATGCAGTGTCATTTATTAGTTTATTACTCTAATATTTTTATTTTTGAATAGTCTACATAAAAAGTAGCTATTAATAATTAAATAATTTAGCAACTTTAGAATTTTACTGACCGAGAGTAAGAAATATTTATTTAAATTTTAGCAAAATCAGATTAGATTGAGGGTGGCAGTTAATAAATCCATACAACATTGGAAAGATGACGAAAGTTTGTCTGTTTCACAAAAAATCGAAAATTTAAAGAGGGACAAAAACAACTCTTAAGTCACGTGTTTGGGGAACCCAAAAAATGTAAATCTATAGAATACTTCTGTAATAAGCCCTTCAAGCCAACAGAAACTGTGATGAAAGATTTACAATTAACAGGCAAGTCATCAGAATTTTTTAAATTTATCATTTTTGTTTTGTTTCAGAACTTTACGAAAAGTTGTCCGGCTATAAAAATTACTATATTCGACACGCTTCTAGTCTTAAATATGATGTAGACGGCAACAGTGTGGAGCAATTCAATTCTATAATAGCGAAATTTACAGGAGGCAAAAGAATGAATTATTGCAAAAAAAACCTTATCAAAGTAGATGTGCAGCAGCCGTTGTAAGATATAATACAAACAGAACTATTTACACCTTAAAAAAATATTTTAATAATATACTAAGATTTCAACAAAACTTGAACTTAGGCAAATTGAAAAAAAAAATAGAAAAGCTAAGCTACGAGTTTGTCGAAAGTTAAGTTTGCACAAATAACAAATTTACGGATGGATGTGAAAGTTACGGCCAGAAATGTGAAAAGCCTGACATGACTGACTCAGAATATTTAGAAGCTAAAACTTAATTTCTAGAAGAAATTAAAAAAAGTAATGAAGAAATCTTAGAAATAGAAAGCTTAACACGGGAGCAGGCAGATTGCGATATTTGGATTTTGCTGCTATGTTTGGATCAGTATGCAAAAGAAGGTCGCTAGTAGAAGCTATCTTGCACATAAAGGTATTTTTCTCAGCGGTTTGCGATTATGGCAAAAAAAATGAAAAAGTAGCAATACAAAAAACTATTGGCAAACCGATTAGAAAATGTGTTCTTTTCATAGATGAGGAAAGTTCCTTTTTAGCCGATACTCTTGATAGCCTAATAGATGACAGAGGCATTGTCGAAATTAAATACCCATATTCAGCACGGGATATGACGCCTGAAGAAGGTATTCAAAAAAAAATTACCTTTTGATCGAAAAATGGCGACATTTATAATATGCACAAATGGTATTATCGGGTGCAAGGACAACTGAAAATTTCCAGATGATCATACTGTGTATTTTCTGTTCCTGTTCCTAAACTCACGGTTTAAAAACTGACACCATATTTCGTGATCCTGAGTTCTGGGTAAAAAGCATGAAACTAGTTCTTTGTCAATTTTATTTTGACTGTATTTTACCGGGAATTATAGATTCTAGAAAATCTAGAAATAAGCCTATTAAAAAATCGAAATATATACTAGAGGCTGTAAAAAAAAATAAGAAGAATGAGAAAGAAACACCTTAAACAATAACTGTATACCAAGTTTCAAAATTATATTATTTTAGTTTTAGTTTTCTTAGTCATATCTTTGTGTTATTTTTTTTTTATTCATATATAATAGTATATAAGTACCTCCACGGGGGCAATGAAAACAACCCCCACTGCTGCAATGGAAGCACTAATAGGACTCCCACCTCTTCACTATGTGATACAAGGGGAGGCAAGATTAGGTGCTTACAGATTAGGGAATACACTGGGAAATCTTGACATTAGGGCAGGTCACATGAGTATCTCAAGGTTAGTGACAGGAGACGTGCTAGACATGAGATCAGACCACATAACCAAGAGGTACTCTTTTAATACTCCATTTGAGGTTTTAATACAGGAAAGAGCGGAGTTCACCATAAGGGAGCCCAATGCCCAACGACAGGAACAAACCTGGTATACAGACGGGTCTAAGACTGCGGAAGGCACTGGGGCAGGAGTATTCTCCAAAAACCCTGGCTATGCTATAGGAATACATTCCTCGGTATTTCAGGCCGAGGTATACGCAATTTTGCAATGTGCAAAAACGAACAATGAAAGAGCTGTCGAAAATCAGCATATTCAAATAATGTCAGACAGCCAAGCGGCACTAAAGGCCATATCGAGTCAGAAAGTTACGTCGAGGCTGGTATGGGAATGCATCGAAGAACTAAGAACACTGGCAGACCGAAATAGAGTAAAACTATTTTGGGTGCCAGGTCACAAAGGGATCGAAGGCAACAAAAGGCTGACGAACTTGCAAAAAGAGGATCAGAAGAAACACCGGAACCAGACACAAACCCAGGAGTACCAAAAAGTACAGTCCGGGGTTTTATAAATGACTGGATTCGGGAACAACATATCAACTATTGGGGAAGCACCCCAAAACAGGCACATGGAAAAGCCTTCATAGGCAGACCATCTCCCAAAAGAACTGGTGAACTACTCTTAATGAATAGGAACCAGTTGAAAGTGATAACAGGGTTCATGACTGGCATGTACAATGGGGAACTCATTTGTCGACTATGTCACAAGAAACCAGAAACGGCCAAATACATACTGTGCGAATGCGAAGCTCTAGATCGCAAAAGACAGGCTCTTTTTGGACAACCCCAGGTTGATCCAACAACGTATAGAACCCATTCACCCAAGGATCTGTACAAACTTGTACAAGGTACAAAGGTGATAGAGTGGGTGCTATGAACTAACATGGGGTAAAACACAATAAGCCAATAGGCTTCAGTGTTATTCGGAGACACATAGTCAGACGAGCCCAGGATAAAAAAAACCTCCATGTTTAATATTTTCGGTATTGTAGCAACATTGTTGTTCCGATAAAATATTCAAACTGTTTTTAAAATATCGTTTTCTTTTTATTTTTCTACTTTATTGAATATTTAAAATAAATTGATAATGATGTATTGATTATTATTAATTAGACCTACAAACGGCTTTTTCCTCTGTTTTAATCAGTTTGTAATTTTATTAAAAAAGAATCCAAAAAAAACAAAATTTTATACATTTGCACACAAATTAGTATATACCCAACTAAATACTTTAATTAAGAAAGGGCTTACAAAATTTTTTAGTCCTTCCAAAATGTAAAGCTTGATCACATCTATTAGTTTTGTTGTTAATAGATTTCAGTGCGGAGGGCGCCACATTACGGTTAGAAAAATGTTAATTGCAGAGGGTCAGGCCGTGCGCGATTACTAACTTATTTTTTGACTTTTTTTAAAAAAGAACATTTTAGTACAAAGTTAAAGGTTTGCAGCAGGGATAAATAGAATTAGATTTTCCAAATTATTTCTTATAACGACATGATTAGCGCCTTAAAATACGTAATATTGTCACCTTTTCTAGTCTGAATAACAGCAATCTTTAAAAAAATTTAATTATTTTGTTCTTATACATCCCTAGAAATACCTTTTCTTTCGTTACCTGCACAAGCAGTTTTAAGTAATTTTGAAAAATTAAGTCATAATTGCGCACGAGCTTAACCGCTATTTTTGCTTAAAAATTCAGGCCATCCTCCGCCCTTAATGGTATGCCATCGATCATAAATTTAAACTAGAAGTGCCCAGCAGACCTACTCACTCAATTTATTATCAGAACGCGCGTGGTTTAAGGACAAAGGTAGATGCATTTTATGTAAATGTTTGTTCTAATGAGTATGATTTTTACTTTATAACTGAAAGTTGGTTAACTGCTGATATATCTAGTTATGAATATTTTGATCAAAGATATAATGTATTGCGATGTGATAGGAACTATGATATTTTAGAAGCAAATAGGGGAGGTGGTGTTCTTATAGCTTGTAAGAGAAAATTTAATGTGTTACGGGTAAATTGTTCTTTTATAACCAATTTTCTTCCAGAAGTTGATATTGTGGGATGTGTGTTCTTGAAAATGTAACCATTTATTTATTTGCTATTTATATTCCCAATATACCTATTGGGATCTAAAATTAAGATCGCAGCGCCGTCTCTACTTGATATTTGAACTAATTGTTATGGCTTGTTATTGTTTACATTTTTGTGCTATTTTAAGAAAACATATTGTTGTTAATTTTTAGTGATTATACACTTTTATTTCAATAGTTTTTAGGCTAAAGTAAAATATATATTTTTATTTGGTAAGTAATCCCCTATTCATTTTGTTTTTAAGTTACTTTCATTCATTTATGTTAATTTAAGATATTTGTGTTATCTTTTAATAAAATATTAATATATTTGTTCTATTTTTAGTGAGATGTCTGAAATAAGGCTAACTTTAATAGAATTTATGAAGTATATTGATGCAGATGAAAATTCCAGGACTGTTATTAAAAAAGAGGCTATTTTAAATGCAGACCACATAGTTTTTATGTGGAAAGAATGAATTTAGTGATAAACATATATCTGTTTATGCAGTTGTTCTCCAAACTAGTGCATTGAATTCAGATCCCCATATTGTTGTAGGCCAGTTCTCATTCACAAGATGTTAGAAATTGGTGAATGGCAATATTCGTTTTAAGCTGGGAACAGTGGACAGTGCAAACATATTTCAGGAGTCCTAATAAAGTGTTCTAGGTGTAGGTATACTGTTTCAAAGAACTATCAAGCTAATTCGATTGAATACCTTATGATTTTGTTCTACACCCACATGTATATTATTTATTCTACGCACTGACTACAGAACGAAAAAGTAGGCCATTGAACGGATATATTTATCCATTCTATGAAAAACACTGTACAGTTATGAAATCCACCAATCACAGTTCATATTTGATCACAAGGTTACCATTATTTTTTAAAATTTTAAATGAGTGACAATTCTGTCAAACTAATTTTCAGTATATGTTTTCGTTATTGAGATTAAATATAATTACAAATGATTATTGTGAAGAATTTATAAATAATGGCACTACACAAGATATTCTTTCACATTTTCAAATAAATCTAAAATCAGTTTATGATTATTAAAAAAAAAACATGTGTCCTTGGTAGGGAAGCAGAATATTTATGGCTTCACTTTTATGTTTGCATAAACTATTTGATAATCTTCAATGTTCCATAATTTTATTTAACAAGATGTTTTGAAACAGATACATAATAATTGTCCTTTTAAAATCATCTATTAACACAAGTAGGTACTATTTTTTTGTTTGTTTGTTAGTTTTGATATAAAATTTACTTAGTCATAATTTTAATTTGTACTAGTTTTTAATCTTAATATTTTTATAATATATTATTTAATTCATGTTACTTATTCTTTTACAAATGTATGACACTTCGCAAGTGTTCTTATTCTCACCTTTTTAATGCAATGATGTTTTTAATGTTTGGATATTGTGTGAATAAATTATATTATTATATTAATAACATAAGTAACTCATGTGATCTCTTCTTTAAGACATTAAATGTAAATGTACAGCTTGAAATTTATGATTGATTTTGTACTTGTGAGAAAACTCTTTTTAATAATTATTTTTATTGTTCTTAAGTTTACTAGTCATTGTGTACAGTTACATTTTGTAATGAGTGACTGTACATTGATAATGTATTTTTGTAATTTTTTATATT